TTTAATTCGCAAGGGGTGGAAATGAGGGGAGCGAGTGGCTCGCTAAATATCAAACACCGTCCGTGGAGGTGTCTCGTTGTTTCCATTTAACCTTGGAAAGTAAAAAAAAAAAAGGAAATGGAAGATCTTGGAATTTTCTTTCCAATGTATTTAATAAAATAAAATTATCGCGATCCCTGGTCGATCGAAGAAAAATTGCGTTTTAAATTTGTACAAAGTGTGTTGCGAAGCTTTAACGCGACATAAATGTGCCCGTATTCCCGAGGGGGGTGCATCGCGTATCTACTATAAGCTTTTAAAGGAAAATGAAACCATTATCGCTAAAACGGGTATTGTCAGCGGGTAGGTGTTTTATATATAAAACATATATATATATAGAATGCTTTCAAGAGCGTTCGTTAACGAAACGAAGAAAATTCATTCTCGGCATTTTGAAAATATTAACGAAACGAGAGAAGGGAAGTTTTAATATCCTCGATCGTTTTTCATCGGTGGCATCTAATTACACCCGAATGGATCCGATAATGCCTCGTCCTATCGGCGATCACGGCGGTGGGAGGAGGAGGAGAACGATCGTCGAGAGGAATACAGGCCGAAGCAAGAACTTAATTTGTCTCTTGGAACGCGGCTATCGGCTGGGATCGGAGGAGGGGGGGGGAATCTTGTTTCGAAAAGAGGGGATCGAGCTTGGCCCGTACATTGGTGACACGAATGTTTCCAACCCCGATAGAAGATGTGTACGCGGCGACGAAAGGTGGTCGATAAGTTAGTAAACTAATTAGCAAGCTTGCCGACAAAGCTGATCTTCCTCTCCTTCTCCTTCGAGCCGGCTCGAACCGCCGAGCTTTTTACTCTGGAGCCCCTACCTCCTCCTCGGTTATTTGTCCCCTCTCTATTTGATTTCGTCCTCCCTTCCACTCCCCCCGCCGCCCCTCTTTTTTCGCTATTTATTTCTTTCTTTCTTTCCTTCCTTCCTTCGTCCTCTGCTGCCACGGAAAGGAACGGTTTCCCACGGGAGACCACGCGATCTCTCTCTCTCTCTCTTTTTGTCTCGGACCCCGGTTCAGGACAAATGGACGCGCTGATTCTAATTGTGTGCGTGCGTGCGTGCACGTGAGCGCGATAATCGTCTTAGAGGATCCGCCGGCGGAATTCGAATCTCTCGAGTATCGATTCTTCTATCCGCTCTTTCTCCCGAGGAAAAATTTTCTGCAATGGAATCGACGAATGTGTGTCGTTGTCCGCATTCGATTTTTCAACTTTTCTCGACTTTTTCTCTCTTTTCACAGCGCTTAGTGGATTTAAGCTGCTTTTGCGCTCAAAGATAAACAGTTACACGGGATAAATCGGGTGGAAAAACACTTGTATTTGTATATAAGAGATATTGTATACAAGAAAAGTGTGTTGTTTTTTTAAAATAATAATCCGTTTGTTACTTCGAAAATTCTCGAGAGGCGGCGATTTTGGCGCGAATTATGAAACGATTGGAAAGGAGGGGGTGGTTCGAAAGGTAGTCAGAGAAATAACGAGGAGGAGGAGGAGGAGTTTGGTATCGCAGAGAAACGGTGCGCTAATTGTCTTCTGCTACTCTGCCTGCCTTTGACATATTAGCGTGCAGACTGTCGTACTACCGGCTCGATAGATAAACCGGAAACGGCAGCCCCTCCTCTCTGATACATGCTTCGAGACTGATACTGCCTGTCGACCTATTTCCCGATGTTTCTCAGCCTTTAGGCAAAGTTTCCTTCCCTCGAATTTTCCAGTGGTTCTCCTCTCTGAAATTCCTCGTGGAGGAGAGAAAAAAAAAAGTCCAGACGTGGAAGAGAAGCTTTGAGAGAGATAATTAGAGAATTGAAAAAAGTTCGGGTTAAAAATTAGGAGGGGAGGAGCGCTCGATTCGAAACGAAGGAGGGAAGCGGCGGCTCTTGGTGACAATGGCGGTAATTATTGTTGATGCTGAAATTTCAATTTTGCGATTGATGCATCGCCCGGAAACCCGGGTTCCGTTGTGTGTACACAGAGGAGGAGGGAGGGAGAGAGAGAGAGAGAGAGAGATTGGAGCGCGTAACCACAGAAGGGTGAGCGGCAAACTGCGGAGACGCGAGCCAACCAGAAACCATCATAAAGGTTCGGTTCTCCCTTTGATACCGCGGCGCACGGGTAACGTATTTAGTTAGACATATCATTCGGTTTCCACCTATTGTACCCGCCCGCCAAACAAACTTCCTATTTGTTTGAACGTTTGCAAGTTACCTCCCCCCTTCCATTTCCACATCCTCCTCCCGGCAGGCGGCCGGTTAAAGGGAAGTGGGAAGAGTGGAGTCGCGTGCTGCGTTGTCTATCCGTGTATCGTATCGTATCGTGTCGTGTCGTGTCCTCGCAATTATTTTCGAGTCGCGCTCGAGACGTTGAAAAAAATATCTCCTCTCGAAACTCTCCCCACGTGCCTCTCTCGCCAAGGATTTTATATTATATTCGGGGTGGAGGGGAAAATATTCGCTCTTAAGCATCGGCTTTTTTAAAATCCTACTCCACTGGACCATCGTTAATTATCGCCCTCAAAGGGATCATGCGTGAGTCCATTTTATTCCAAAATACGCGAATCTTGGAAAGATTCTCGTGTTACGGGGTGTAGGGAAAAAAGGGATTGTATTTGTTCATCGGATATTCCAAAATATCTTGAAAAGCGAAACGATTTTCGTATTGCAGGGTGTATTGAAAAAAGGATCGTTCGTCTATCGTATTTTAAAATCAAACACGAATCTTGAAAAGTGGAAAGATTTTCATATTTCGTATTTCGTGGGGACGAGTTTAGAGAACGGAAAAAAGGGTTCGTTCACTGTATTTCAAAATACGCGAATCTTGGAAAACGTTAAGATTTTCTATCACGAGGTGTGAGACAAGTATAGAAAACGAGTAGTATACGAAAAAGAGAGGGATAGAAGTAGAGGGGGCGTGCGTCCACCGTATTTCGAAATACGCGAATCTTGGAAAACGTTAAGATTTTTGCATCACGAGTTGTGAGACAAGTATAGAAAACGAGAGGGGCAGAAGTCAAAAAAGAAGTGAATTTTGGAAAGATTTTCGTATCGCAGGGAAAAAAGGAATCGTGTTCGTCCACCGTAATTCAAAATTACACGAATCTTGGAAAAATTTTCGTATCGCATCACGGCATATAAGACTAGAAAAAGATTGTAAAAAGAAAGGGGTAGAAGTAGAG